CCACCTGAAGCCCAATCACCTCTCGCCCCCCTCCCAATCCCAGCACCTAGCCAACAGCCACCAGCCCCGTAGAAGTGACACCTCAATCAATTCATGCCCCCTCCTATATAACCCAGCACCTTTCCCTAATAAAGCGGAACTCTCCGGTGAATTGCTGCTATGTGTCGCTCCTTTCCTTTCAGGGAGGATGGGTGAGAAGGGAGGGAGAAGGGGGAAAAAAGGAGCATTACAATTAGCACAGGGAAGGCAGTATAGTACAGAGAAGACAAGTAGTGACTCTATAGCGTCTTACTATGCTGATGGACAGTGACTCTAATGGGGTATGTTGGGGGGACTTGATAATGGGGGGAATCTAGTAACCACAATGTTGCTCATGTAATTGTATATTAATGATACCAAAAAAAAAGAATGTGTAATATTGCTTAAAAGGACTGAAAATAAAATAATTAAATCAGATACATAAATTAAGTTATGCCCACAGGGGAAAAAAAAATCATTTAGCAAATCCCCTCTTCTGGCACTTGAAGGGTTAACATCACAAAACAGGTTATTCATCCCAGAAGGAATGAATTACCTGATTGTAGGTTAGCACCTAATAGATAACATTAACCTACACACCCAATCTGCACCATTAATCACTGTCTCAATGCCTTTCTTTTTTCTTTTTTTTTGGCAATGAATTTTGTATCCTTTGAGTTCAGAAGGCAAAAGGAGCTCCAATCCTGGAAAAATCACTTGGCTATAACATATGGTACTTTCCAGAAAACAACACTAATCTCACAGAGACAGTGAACACCACGAACCAGCAGCTTGAACTGTATCTGGGAAGCAAGACCTATTGGGTGTCTGCAGTTTCTTACAATTCTCTCGGGGAGTCTCCAGTAGCCACTCTAAGGATTCCAGCTTTTGGTGAAAACTGTAAGTACAGTGAAAGTTCTTAGATGCCTGGCTTCATCCAACTGCCAAGGAGTAGTCCCTGTTCTCTTACAGGTTGCTGTTTCTCTTGAGTCAAAATGAAAATAAAGTGGGTACTTTTTAGGTTATGCTGGGGAGAGCAAAATCTCCTGGTAACTGGTGAGCTCCTTGAAATAAAGTTCCTTTGGAACAAAGCCTGTGTTGAAAAATCAGAGACTTCAAAAATCATGTGATGCCAAGTAATAAGCCTAGAAGTTGTACATGCAGCTTGTGTTGGTCTAAATAAAATGTAGCCAGGTTGAGCCATATAAAACTGTCACATCTGCCGCTCCCACCGTAGTGACTGAAGCCTCTCCTGAGACCTTCGCCTCAGGGCACTGACCATGTCCCAGCCTTGGTTTTGCTCACCCTCCCATTTTCTTCCTTGTTCCCCTTCCAACTGGCTGCCAAGTTAGGACTATGTCTTACACTTACACTTGCCAATTCACTTCTCATTCTACTTTCATTAAGTAGTTTGTCACAATTTACTGTTCCCAGGCAAACACATATTTCATATTCTGTTTTGGAACAAAATATCTTTGGTTCTTATTCAAGGACTTATAGGCAATGGATTTCCTCTTCCTTGCTTTATTTTTCTCAAAAAAAACCTTACTATTCCTCATTTAATATTTTCTCATTTATTTTATTTATTACCTCTCTCTCTTCATGGATGCACATTCTATGAAGGCAAAGATTTTTTACTCTTTTTCTCTTCTCTTTCTTTTCCTCCTCCTCTCTGCCTTATCTTCCTCACCCCCTTCTTCACTTCCAACACCTAGAATTGGTACGGAGGAGTTGCCACGGCAAAGGCACTTGGTAACTATTTGTTGACGCACATCACAGTTAGGGAATGCATTCTCCAGTTTGCCAGCTGTTTGCTTTGATCTGGACCTGTTCAGGCATTTACACTACTAGTTCTAGACTTGCCTGCTTATGTTCCCTTCTGTCTCTTCTTAAACTTAACCCGCTTCTTCCCTTACCTCATTTTAGAACTTCTATATATATATATATATATTTTGTGTTTGGAGCTATACTTGCCACTATTTTAGTTAGTATTTAATAGTATTCCCCACACTCCTTAGCTTCTGGCATCTTAGTTTCTCCCTATCCAATACTTGTAGTGATTAAGTTTCTGACAAATGTGTGTGTCTTTGAATACACATTCTTGTTAATAGAGGCACTGCTGAATAGTAATATCAGTCTCCTGGTGTGGCCCTGTAGTGGGAAGCATTAAAGTGTAGAGGATAAAAATATGGCTTTGGAGTCCAACAGCCCTGGTTTCAAACCTTTCATTAGATACCATAAACCTAAACCTTTCGCAAGTTACCTAACCTTAAACCTGGAGAATGTTAGCTACATGTAAAACGGGGCTATTATATAGTAATACCTACCTCACAGAGCTGTTGTGATGATTAAATGAGATTGTGTGGGTAAAATACTTTGTCTAGTCTAATTATTATTTTTGTCATTCTTAATAAAGTTTATGATCAATTAAATTTCTATTACATATGGATTATCAACTTTAAAATGCTAGAAAATACTTCAAAATTATGCTAAATTCATATAGGGTTTTTTGTTTGTTTTTCCCAAATCTGAAGCTAGTGCTTTATGTCAGAAGCATCAACATGATAATCAGTTATACTGGTCATAGACCAGGTAGGCAAGCTATAGCTTGTGGACCAAAGTTGGCCTGACACATGTTTTTTGTAAATAAAGTTTTATTGGAATACAACCACACCTGTTCTTTTCTTTTTTTCCTTTTTTACACATTGTCATGTCTCCTTTTGTGCAACAATGGCAGGCAGAGTTGAGTAGTTGTAACAGATAAAATATTTACTATTTGACTCTGTGGAGAAAGTTTAAAGGCCCCTGTCTTGGACATATAAGAAAGTAATGTTTTACAGAATTTTGTTTCATAAAGAGGTGTCAACTGGAGAATAGTTGAGTAATAATAGTTATTGTAGGTATAACAATCATTAAATAAATGTAATTATCATGTCCATTAGTGTATGTCAACATTGTGCTAAGATGATAGGTTAGTCAAATGTTAGCCTTGAAATGACCCATGGCATAGATGGTATTAGATCTTCTTTGTGATGATGAAGCTGAGATTCAGCAAAGCTTAGTAATTTGTCTGAGGTCTCTCAGGTGTAATTCAAGCCCAGGTCTGTGTGATTCCAGATTTGTACTATACACTTTATCAAGAACCTTGGATTTGGTATTAATAAGTGACTTAGAATTCTCATTGCAGTTGCTGCATGGCCCTGAACTGGTTATTTACCCATCTTTAAAATAATGGATTGGAATAGATACACCTTCAGGTTCCTTGTTGTCTGACCCTCCTTGGAGTTCTAGGACATTCAGACCCCAAGGGCCTTGGCCAGCAGGCAGCTATGGAGTGGTCTGAGGTAGGGCCTAGAACAGCACGGCTGCTTGCACAGTGAGGGGCTGAGGAAGAGGTTGGGACTGAAGGTGGGCGAGGACAGCCAGCAAAGGCAGGGTGCCAGGCATCAGGGAACCACATTCAGTAGCCAGAACTGCCTTCACGCAGACCACAGGAAATCAAAGGTGTTAGCAGTCAAGCCCTACCCCCTTTTTCCCAGGGAGGATCTGTATTACCTTCTGTGCCTGGGGATGTTATATCTGGAAAAATTACCTAAAACTTTCTTGTTGAATGATGGAGGTATCCAGGAGTTCATTTGCATCGAGTAGAATGATGAGTTGAAAACTTCTCTTTTGTGCCCCTTAATGCTGCCCAAGCCCTTTGTCCTTCCAGGCTGACTCAGGGCTTAGTGAATGGTTTCCCTGCCCTCTGGGGCTCAGGTGCTGGTTTGTTGCCTCAATCCCTGCAGCACTTTGGGCTCTTTAGACCCAGCCCCTGCACAGCCGAGCGAGCGAGCCAGCGCTGTGCTGGGAAGGAGGAGGTGCAGGTCAGGATTTGTGGGCAGTTTATTAACAAAGTGTCTCCAGATTCACCAAATTGGTGAATTTTCTTTTTTAGTTCAAATAAATTGAATGAAAAGAAATAGAGAAAGCTAAACAAACAAAGTGCCTCCAGGGGAACCAAAGGAAGCAGAGGCAGCAAGACCAGGGAAGCAGGGAGGTCAAGCCAAGGGGCTGTTTGATTTTCCCAGGGCTGCTGTGACCAAGACCACAGACTGCAAGGCTTCAAACAGCAGAAATTTACTGTCTCACTGTCCTGAGATTTAGAGGTCTGAAATCAAAGTGTTGGCAGGACCACACTTCACAAGTCCCCAGAGGAAGGTCCTTCCTTCCTGCTTTTGGAAGCCCCAGGTGTTCCTTGGCCGGGCGCAGTGTGGCTTTGATCTCTGCCTTGGTTTTCACAGGCCAGCTTCCGGTGTGTCTCTGTCTCTGTGTCCAAATCCCAATTTTTTTAATAAGGACACCAGTCATATTGGGTTAAGGGCCCACCATCTTAAGTTAACTACTTATATCTGCAACGACCTGATTTCCAAATAAAGTTACATTCTGTGGTACTGAGGATATATTTGGGGGAGGGAGGGGTGGATACAACTCAACCCATAACAGGTGCAATCTGCAATAAAAGTCTTGAGGATAGTGGGTCCAGCCTGACCCAGAAAGGGGAGTGTGGAGTGTAAGTTACATCTCAAAGTTATCCCAACCAAGCAAAACACACAAAAACATTAAGAAGGAATCTGAGAAGATCAGGGAGTATGAACATCATCTGCTATAAGAGGCCGGGTAGGGTCCAAATGCTCCAGTAAGGACTTTCAACCTGACTGGAACAGCTGCTGAGGGTGCTTAGAGGCCATGAGCAGGGGAGGGCAGGGAGGACGAAGCAGGAGTCCTAGGGACTCTGTGAGGCTGCCTTCCCGGCTCTGTGCTCCGGGCCCCGGCCCCACCCCGAGTTCAGCTTCACACTTCCTTCACGCCTCAGTAGCCCTTCCTCAGAGCCACCCTTTCAGACTGTTGAATGTTTGGTCTTGCTTCTAGGAGGAGCAGCTGCAGCGTCTCCTACCGGCCGAGTTTGGGAAAAGGATCCATGAACTCTGCCCTTTAAGGACAGCTACTCCTGAATATGCACACAGCCTGCTGGGGCTAGTTGCCTACAGACAGCAGGATTCAGTATCCCTGTCCCCACACCAAATCTCCACCCCTGGCCTGGGCTTCCAGCTTCAAAAGACATTTTGTTTTTTGGAGGAACACTGTCTCCTCTTCTGTCCTCATCCAGGGCTGTCTTCCATGTTCATTTCAGTAAACATCCTGCGGATTCCAGTTTTGAAGGCTCAGGTGTGTCGTGGGCAGTGAGGAGCACGTGAGGGAGGAGAGCCAAACCCCTGGATCTCCCAAACCCCACTCCTTTGTACCTTTCTCCTGTGCCTCTCTGCACCTCCAAGTAGTTCTCCTCTCTTCCACATAGTCAGAACATTTTCAGTAAGATAGCTCTCTAAATTCTGATTAAATCCTAGATATTGGATTTTAACTCCATGTTCAACTTCTCTATGAAAGGAATCCTGTGGCCTATTTCAGACCATGAATTTTCCGCAGCCTGCATGTCTGTATCTTCCTGGTACAGATAATTCTTTGAGGATAGGATTCCATAGCCTGGTTGTGCAGGGCCAGCCTAGAGGGTTGAAATTTGAAGCCATTTCCCTGGTATAATTTTAGAGTTACCCTCTCTCAGCTTGCCAGCTGCAGGATTACTGGTGCCTGAAATTCTATGTTTAGAGATTCATTCTTTGTCTCAGGCTTGCTTTCCTTTTGATTTACCTGTGGAAGGTAAGTCTTTTCAGTCATCAACTCTCTCATGAGATCTTTTCCTGGAAAAATTCTGGTGAATTTTTGGTAGATAAAGATTAAGAAGGCATTTAATCATCCAGTTGGGGGTTAAGGAAAGGGATACAATAAAACTGAACCACTAAGGGAGGTTGCCGTGGAGATCCTGAACTTCGACCTTCCTTATGATTCGGGCAATGACTGGCTGCCTATGTGGTTGGTGCATTTGGGGAATGAGTTGGCTAGCTGTAAAGCAGTCTTTTTCTCTTCTTCCAGCATTTCAGTGTATTGAGGCCATGCAGGCCTTCCTCACTCAGGACCAACTGGTGGTGGAGTGGCAAAGCTCTGTTCCAGAGGTGGACACATGGATGGTTGAGTGGTTTTCAGAATCGGCCCCAAAGCCCTCCACCTTTTCCTGGGAATCTGTGTCTCAGGCCAGGAACTGGACAATCCAGCAAGGTAGCCAGGGCAGACCCTACAGGTTCCCTCTGTATAGGATTCAATTTCATCAGATTTTAAACCTTTAACTTTGGCTTCAAAGCTATAAAAACAGTTAATAGCATTTGACAAGCTAGTACAAGCTTAGTGAAGTGACACATTTCTTGGCATTTCCCAGCAAGCCTGGGTGGGGAAGCCATGAGTATCAGACAAGGTATCTGGCCTGTTTACATGTAGAAAATACTATTTTAACACTTGCCACCAGCTATCTTGATCATGGGGATAACACCAGAGTTTGTATCCTAATTGTCCTACCCAGGGCACCCCCTTCAGTTTGGGTCACCAATTTAAGAGCTGGGCCCTTTCCCCAGGTGATTGATATAGAAAATAGCCTTCTTTTCAAGAAAGTCCTTGTTCCCTGTAATACACATTAATGAGGTTTTACACTCCCAGTCCCATCAGTCTAACCCTTAATACTGAATAGCATCCATATAAAGAATCATGCTCATGCAGGGATGCAGGCAGACAGAGGAGCTAGAGTTCATGGTATCTGAGTTCTCTAAGATGATTTGCTGTTTGACAGAAGGATTCAGTTTATTCTTAGTGCCCCCAAATCATATAACAAAATCTGTGATGGGGGAGGGACTGAATCTCTTACCTCTCCCTTCCTGGATCTTTCATTTTGCCAGAGGGTTTAGTGCTAAGAATTGCTTTAAAGAGGTTAGAACTGTAATAGACATTAGAGATCATCCAACTTAACCTCCCTTATTTTCCAGGTATGGAAACTGTAGAGAAATAGTATCTCTTTCATAAATCTTAGGGTATAACTCTTACTCTAGCATTCCTTGTACTATGTCATACTCTGCAGTAAATGCTTATTTCTCTCTCTCTCTCTTTTTTAACAGATGAATTAAAACCTTTCTGGTGCTATAACATCTCTGTGTATCCAGTACTGCAAAACCGAGTGGGCAAGCCATATTCCATGCAGGCTTATGTCAAAGAAGGCAGTATGTATGGACAAGGTCCTGTGGGGGCAAGGAAACATTGGGGCCTGTCCAACATTCAGACAAGGCTGTGAATGCCTGTAGCTCATTCACAGTTGCCTTGCTGCTCACCCACGCTGCCCCTTCAGTCTGTAGTCAGCTATATGTTTGATGCAATCACGGTCAGGTTATAGGTTCACTGAGTGTCAAAGCTAGGGTAGTCACTGGTGATCAAGTCCAAGCTCTTTACTTCATGGAAATGAGCATTTGAGGCTCAGAGAGGTAAAATAATTTGCCCAGATTCACAAGGAAACTTAATGCAAATAACACTGTAAGCAGAAATAACATTTAGTTAAGACCAAGTTAGGGACCCTACAAATCAATCCTAAGTTGGAGATACTAAAAAATTATTTTTCATTGTGTAGCAATAAGCACTGGTGAACTGCTTAGACTATATTTTTATCTCGTTGGAAGCTAACATCTTCCAGATTCGACACTAGAAAATATATCCTGTCTCTCAAAGGTAGCCCATGGGGCAAACTCTTCCACAATTTGATAATGGCTGTTACAGTTATGAGTGGAAGAGCTGGGGGCCAAATTAGAATGAGAGGTCTATGAGGAAGTACTTTTTCTCTGGTCTGTGACACATCTTCCCTTCCTGTTCAAGATAGATGACTCCAGAAACTAATGTTCCCAAACAGGTTGATTCGTCAGTTCCCTACTCAGCACTGATTTTGGTATGAGTCCTGGCCAGAGCCTTTGTGGGGGAAGGATCAGCTCGGGTGTGATGGAGTGTTTATTATTTCCTGTCCTGTAAAGTTCCATCAGCAGGTCCTGTGACCAAGGCGGAGAACATTGGTGTGAAGACAGTCACGATCACATGGAAAGAAATTCCCAAGAGTCAGAGAAATGGTTTCATCAGCAACTATACCATATTTTACCAAGCTGAAGATGGAAAGGATTTCTGTAAGTGTGCTCATAGCCAAGTTGAAGACCCCCCAAGCCCCACATAGATGCTATGGCCAGACCTGCCATAGGGACGACTCCCATGGTTAGTACTGTTTCCTTGCCTGAGTCACTTAGCTTCTTTGAGCCTCTCTGGAAATGGGGCCAGGAGCACTTACCTCTTGAGCTTTTTGCAGTCAAATGAGAGTATAGTGACAGTACTAAGAGTCCTGTAGGAACCAGGGGAATTGATATAATTTGTCCTGGTCAGGCTGTGAACAGGTTGGCCTCCTGGGAACTTGCCAATCATTATTGAAGAGTGGAGTGTGCCTGGATTAAAGAGTGGATTGTGAACAGACCCTATTTGGTGGCACTTACCCCAGTGCAGGACCCTTTACTCCTACCACCCATTGCCAATTCAAACTTCTTTTTTAAATCCACAATGTCTCCTGACACCCTAAATTCTAAGCTAGACTTGTATTCATGTTTAATACATTTTTTTGTAATTGTTACAGTAAAATACATATAACAAAATTTACCACTTTAAACATATGAAAGTGTATTGTTTATTGACATTAAGTACATCTGTAATGTTGTGGGACCATTATCACTCTTATTTCCACCCTGTACCCATCAGTCAGTCATTTCCCATTGCCTCATCCCATAGTCCCTGGAAATCACAAAGCTGCTTTCTATCTCTATGGATTTACCTGTTCTGGCTATTTCACATAAATTGAATCATACAATACATGCCCTTTTGTATCTGACTTCTTTTGCTTAGCATGTTTTCAAAGTTTATCCATGTTACAGCATGTGTTAGTACTGCATCCCTTTTCACAGCTGAATAATGTTCTATTGTGTGGCTAGTCCACATTTTGTTTATCCATTCATCAGTAGTGGACATTTGGGTTGTTGCCACCTTTGGTTACTGTGATTAATACTACTATGAACATTGGTTCTATTAATTGGAACAATACTATGAATATTGGTGTACACATATTGTTTTAAGTCCCTGCTTTTAATTCTTTGGAATACACAGTAGTCACCCCCTTATCTGCAGTTTTCACTCTCCATGCTTTCAGTTACCTGTGGTCAGCTGCGGCCCAGAAGCAGAAGATCCTCCTTCTGACATTTGTCAGAAGGTCAGTAGTAGTCTAACACTATGTCACAATGACTTTGTTGTTCACTTCATTTCATCTCATAGGCATTTTATCATCTCATTATCATAAAAAGAAGGGTATGTACAGTACAATAAGGTATTTAGAGAAACATTCACAAAACTTTTATTACAGTATATTGTAATTGTTCTATTTTATTAGTCATGTTAGTCTTCTTACTGTGCCTAATTTATAGATTAAACTTTATCATAGGTATGTATATGTAGGAAAAAAACATAGTTCATATAGGGTTAGGTATTATCTGTGGTTTCAGCCATCCACTGGGAGTCTTGGACTGTATTCCCTGTGGATAAGTGGGGACTACTGTATACTTAGGTGTGGAACCGCTGGGTCATATGATAATTCTAGTTTAACTTATTGAGGAACCACCAAACTGTTTTTGCACAATGGCTACCCCATTTTACATTCCCACCAGTAGTGTATGAGAGTTCCAGTTTCTCTAAATCCTTACCAACACTTGCTATTTTGTTAAAAATATATATTATGGCTATCCTAGTGGGTATGAAGTGGTATTTCAATATGGTTTTGATTTGCATTTCCTTAATAAAAATGATGTTGAGCATCTTTGCATGTTTTTGTTGGCCATTTTTGTATCTGCTTTGGAGAAAGTCTTTTCAATCTCTCTGCCCATTTTTAAATTGAGTTGTTTGTCTTTTGGCTGTTGAGGTGTAATATTTCTTTTATATATTCTGGATACAAATTTCTTATCAAATATATGACTTGCAAATATTTTACCCATTTTGTGGGTTGTCTTTTCTCTCTCTTGGTAGTGTGTTTTAATGTACGAAAGCTTTTAATTTTGATGAAGTCTAGGTTGATCTTTTTTCTTTTGTTGCCTCACTTTTGGTGTCATATCTAAGAAACCTTTGCAAATTCAAGGTCATGTAAATTCACCCTATGTTGTCTTCTAAGACTTATATAGTTTGGGATCTTTATAATGTGGTGTTTGATCCATCTTGACAGGCTAGTTTTAAGCAGAGCATGGTTAGAAGCATTATGGTATGAAAAGGCTAAGCTTGGAAGTATAGCTTCCAGTGATCTAATTTCAGTGTTGCTAGACTGGAAAAAGTACAATTTTCAGCTAGGTTTGGCTGTGGTATTTGACTAACACAGTTTTTCTTTAGCCAAAACAGTCAACTCCAAGATCCTGCAGTATGACCTGGACTCCCTGACACGGAACACCTCTTACACTGTTCAGGTCATGGCCAGCACCAGAGCTGGGGGGACCAACGGCACCAGGATAAACTTTAAGACATTGTCAGCTAGTGAGTATTTCCATTAAGCCCTGGATACATCTCCTTGGCCTTTTCCTTAGGCCGGTCAAAAATGATCTTTGCCAAAGGCAGGAGGAAGCCAAATGGAAGGGTGATACGTTGGTGAGCAGAACTGTCTGCTCCCTGACTCACTGACCTTCCATGAAGGTATATGGATGAGGAAGGAGTAGGGAAAGCAGGCAAACTGAGAGCTGAATTTGCAAAGATGGTCATTTTGCTACTTCCTTCTGGGTAGCCCCATATCATTTTCAGAAAGAGGGATCAAGTAAATGCCAACTCACCCTCAGCCCCAACCAGCTCCTGCCTCAAGGCTGTCTGCAGTTTCACAGTCAGCAATTTCTACGTGTCAGAGGTTACTGCACGAGGGGGTGGGGAGAGAAAACCTTGTTTGAGCAAGAGCCATTGGCTCACAAAAAGATACTTAACCTCACCATTTATGAAGTTTATTGAGCAAAAAGGCACATAATATGTTCTATTTATCCCAGCTTTTACATTAAAAAATAGGGAGCAAGAAAAACTTAATACAAGAAAAATATAAATTACAATGTAATTGCATAAGATGGTTATGGGAAATGTTTTAGAGGGAAAGAAGATGGAGGGTGTAGGGAGATGAAGAAGAAAGAAGGAAGGAGAATGGGAGAAACAGAGAAATATGTTAATTTTCCCAAGTCCTTGAGTGGTAGAGATTGAATTTAAGAATATACTAACATTGTTTTAAGGGAGGAACAACCTTTTATATCAAAAGTGAAGGAGCATTTGCAAATTTTGCAGTAAATACTAGAAACAGTCTGGTTTAAGTATTCTTAAAAGCCTCTTGTTGATACATTTTCCAAAGAATAAAAGTAGCTTTATGTCTCTTAGAAAACATGCTCCGTTTTAATGGATTAACATTGCCTTTTTCAGTTCTTTCTGATACTGTTCTTCAAAATCTTGTGAAATCATGTTGTATTTTCACCGCACTAGACATGGATTACATTATTTGATGGAATTTTCTCTGGGGGTCAAATGAAAGGTAAGAGACTGCCTTGGAGCTCAGCAGTTCTTACCCTGGGTCTACAGATTACAGATCGCCCTGCTTCTACCTTTTTTTTTTAAAGTTACATTTATATTCTAAATATATTTAGAATACAAACTCTGTATCTAGAATACAAATACATTCTAGTCAATATGTTTGACTAGATAAGAACATGGTAGCAGAAAAATTTGGCAAATGAGGGGATGTCACTCTGTCTAAAGCAGAGTTCAAGGTCAAGGCAGAAAAGAAGAAAAACATTGGATTTTCCCATTTTTCTCTTTTTACTGTTTTCATTAATCATAGCCATGTCACTCTGCCTAAACTGGTAACATCTCTCATGATCTCTACTTGGAAAAACAAAAGCCATACAAAACCCCAGGAACCATGTAAAAAGTACTTCTTATTCTGAAAAATAACTTGCATGCCATAGAGGACCGCACTTAGAGAAAGATAATTTTTCTGTACTCTTCTGGTGACTATATATTTATCAAACCTACTTTTTTTTTTGAGAGGGCGTCTCTCATATTTATTGATCAAATGGTTGTTAACAACAATAAAATTCTGTATAGGGGAGTCAATGCTCAATGCACAATCATTAATCAACCCCAAGCTTAATTCTCAACAGTCTCCAATCTTCTGAAGCATAATGAACAAGTTGTTACATGGTGAACAAGTTCTTACATAGTGAATAAGTTCTTACATGGTGAACAGTGCAAGGGCAGTCATATCACAGAAACTTTCAGTTTTGACCATGCATCATGAACTATAAACAATCAAGTCAGATATGATTATTCGTTTCATTTTTATACTTGATTTATATGTGAATCCCACATTTCTCCCTTATTATTATTATTTTTTCTTAATAAAATGCTGAAGTGGTAGGTAGATGCAAGATAAAGGTAGTGCTGTAAGAGGGCAAATGTAGATGATCAGGTCTGTGCCTATAGACTAAGTATTAATGCAAGCTAGACAAGGGCAACAAAACATCCACGGATGCAGAAGATTTCTCTCAAAACGGGGGGGTGAGGTTCTAAGCCTCACCTCTGTTGATCCCCAATTTCTCACCTGATGGCCCCCCTGCGACTGTGCCTGTCTTAGGTTGTTCCTCCCTTGAGGAATCTTACCCGTCTCTGGCTAACCAGTCATCTTCCGGGGCCATACAGGGAAATGTAAAGTTGGTAAGTGAGAGAGAAGCAATATTGTTTGAAAAGGTTAGCTTTTTACTTCTTTGCA